TCATCTCTCTCACCTGTGATTGCTAACCTCTTCATGATTTACTTCGAAAAGAAAGCAATAGAGAAGGCAAATCTGAAGCCAAAACTATGGACAAGATACGTTGATGACGTATTTGTTGTATGGCCTTTTGGCAAGGAGGAGCTTTTGAAATTCCTAGATCATCTGAATTCCATCCACCCAAGGATTCAATTTACAATAGAACTTGAAGAGGATAACAGTCTGCCCTTTTTAGATGTGCACATCACAAGGACCGAAGATGGACACTTGGAACACACTGTCTATAGAAAACCAACACACACTAATAGATATCTGAACGCTAAATCTCATCACCACCCATCACAGATACAGGCAGTGGCAAATACATTAATTGCTCGGTCCTTCAGGCTCACAAACGAGAGGAACAGAGATAAAGAACTGAAGAAAATTAGTACCTGTCTTCGACAAAACGGATACCAAAGGCGTACCATCAGCAAGGCAATCAGTAAACAACAACAGCCGCAGCAGAGAGTGCAGGACGAGACCCAACGAAGATCGATCGCTGTCCTGCCATACATCAAGGGGGTTACTGACAAAATCGGCCAAATATTACGGAAACACGACATATCAACGGCATACAAACCTGACCATACCATCGGAGCAATACTAAGAAACCCAAAACAAAAAATTACTCTGGAAAACCAAGGAGTATAGAGTGTAGCATGCGGATCGTGCAGCCTGACGTATGTGGGACAGACCAACAGAAGAATTTCAGCCAGGCTCGAGGAACATCGTTTAGCCATAAGAAACAAACAAACAACATCTGCTTTGTTTCAGCACCAACATCAGACAGGCCATAAAATTGATTTCGGCACTTGCAAACAAATAGCTAATATTCCTGATTTTAGGACTAGGATTATACGAGAGGCCATCGAAATAGAAAAGTCCGGACACCTCAATACGAGAGACGACGCTCTGCATTTATCCAACACGTGGAGAACGATAATCAAACAGCAGAGCGATGCGCAGCAGCCAACGGGGACATCGCAACTACGATCGGGCGAAATTAACAACGCTACAATTCAGGGGGCGGAGCCACCTCCCCCCACGCACAAGCAGCACCGTTACCATCTCCGGCGTAGAGTATAAATACCGCACGCACCGCCGATAACCTCCCAGTGTTCGAAGTGTTTTCGGAGCGCGAGCATTGAAGATGCCAAGTGAGATTTTGGCGAAACGTCTGCAGGATTCCAGTCGGATGCAGGATTTGCAGGATTCCAGTCGGAGTTCAACGAGCGAACGGATGATATCCCGGAGTATAGTGTCATCACATTTTTCCATCCGTGAATCAATACGTGAGAATATATATATATATATATATATATATATATATATATATTCTCACGTATTGATTCACGGATGGAAAAATGTGATGACACTATACTCCGGGATATCATATATATATATATATATATATATATATATATATATATATATATATATATATATATATATATATATATATATATATATATATATATATATATATATATATATATATTTTTTTTTTTTTTTTCACTTAAAACTCCGCACGCCAATAAGTTCAAAACGAAAAGAAATATTTAATTTATGTAAAAAGTAGTCAAAATGAGGGGTCAAGTAGATATTTCCTAAAGTTAAAAAAATTCGACGCCTGCAAAGAGCTGGGCGTCGCGACGCGTCGAAAAATTATTCGATTGCAGAGACTTTGGAAATACGCGCATACAAAAGTACATATTATTTAAAAACTTTTTTGTTATTTACTCAAACTTATTTACTTTACCCGTTTCTAAGTTATACCGATTTAAAGTAAACATTTCTTGATTAATAAAAAATGTGATTAACGCTTATTTTTACAAGTATGCCATGAATGTTAGTTACTATGGCAACCATTGTCATCGCAGTTGTTTTAAGTGCAATTACAAACAATAGATTTCAACTATTTTAGTATGATTTTATTTATTATTTTTTATCGATTTAGTTCTGATAACATGATAAATAAATGAAAAAACAGTAAAATACTTACAAGTTAATAACCAAAATTATTATTGCAATTAACTACATAATAAGACATTTCAAAAATTTTGGTCAAAATTATGTCCATCTGCTCGAACACAACTATCAAAAACTTTTAACAGATGAGCTTGGGTCACTTGTAGGAGAGTCCTTCTTGTGATAGCGGCACACGCTGCACTAATTTTGTTAATGAGATCAGCCATTTCTTCGATAGGTTCTTCATAGATAACGTTTTTTAGGTAGCCCCAAAGAAAATCATCTGGTGGTGTAATGTCCGGGGACCTCGCCGGCCACCTTACCGGTCCATTAGTACCAAACCATCTATTGGGATATTCTCGGTTCAAATACCTCGTTACTATTTGGGCATTATGTGCAGGCGCTCCATCCTGCTGTAGCCACATATTCATTCTAGTGTCAAGAGGCGCTTCTTCTAATAGTTCCGGAAGTGTAGTTTGAAGAAATCTTAAATAGCGATCTGCATTTAAAGTTCCTTCGTAAAGGTAAGGTCCAATAAGGAATCCATTTAACCAAACATTGATACTAAAAATTCGTTGGTTACCTCTTTCTGTAATCCAACGAGGATGGTTTTCGGACCAAAAACGACAGTTGTGTCTATTAACGATTCCATTATTTTGAAATCGACTTTCGTCGCTCCATAAAATTTTCGAGAGAAAATTTGCATCTTGGTTATACAAATCGGACAATGTCGCTAAGAAATACATTCTTCTAGCATAATCGCCTGGTTCTAGTTTATGAATTAGTTTACTTTTGTACGGGTGAAAAGAGTTTCTATGTAGAATTCTCCACGAAGAACTTATGGTAACACCGGTATTTTCTTTTATCTCTGATAGGGATATCTTGGGGTTATTATCAACCTGCTGAACTACGGCAGCAGTATTTTCATCATTTGTAGCCGTCCTGTTCCTATCTCTTTTAGGTTTTATGAAGCTGCCATATTCTCTTAAGTTTTTACATAAACTTGAAAAGGTTGTTGCATCGGGGACTCTTCTATGCGGATAACGCCGTGCGTAAACTCTTTTTGCTTCTCTACAATCGCATCTGCATTCTCCAAACACCAGTAACATGTCTACTTTTTCCTCATTGCTAAATTGCACCATTTTCACATAATAATTCTTAGTTTTTTTTTAACCGAACAAATTTGGATATTTCTTGTGACAAAATGTGACAATTTTTTGATACAGCAATAACAACTTACGTTTGTAATTATATATATATATATATATATATATATATATATATATATATATATATATATATATATATATATATATATATATATATATATATATATATATATATATATATATATATATATATATATATATATATATACTGGCGAGAAGCTTTTTTAAAACGCACGGTACAAGGATTATTCAACACTGCCACTCTGACACGTGGTCGACATTTACTCGCCTTTGTCTTGACTCTCAGCTATAAATAAATCAATAAATTATTGGTTATTGGGTTTACCCAGCAACAGTAGACATGAACATCGTAATCACTTTTTTGGGGTGAGTTGATCAAAGGCCATTACGATATACTTTGAAACAGACCTTACATACCTATTGGGAATTTGGAGTTGAAAGAACTCTCGTTGTACTGTGGCCTAATGTCATAATGAAGACCAGTTATTAATTAATTATTGGCTTTCAGTTGATCAAATTTCGTTAATGCTAAAACATGTCTATATGAATACCAATCGCACGGCTATTTATAAAGCAAAGGATATCGATAACCGTTTTTGTATTGTTCCATATGATCGATTTTAATGCTCTACGACTCCAAACCATATAACATGTACGTTTTTAAAACGCCATTGGAATACATACCATGGACGTCCTGAGACGTCCATATCTTTTGAAAGTATCGTGGCGCCAAAAGCAACGAACTATAAATATTTTTCTATCTATATCTATAACGTATTGCAAGGTACCATATCCGTATTCAGAAAGTATCTGCTTGTTGAAAACTAGGTAGCGGTAAAGTCCTATCAGAACCTCTTTGATATGTCAGTTTAAAATATTTAGTAAACCTTTTTTTGTGCAAACGTAAACCTCTCTTAATTTTTCAAAAAAATTTCCACAGGCTGCTTTTTACAAAACTTCTGGATTCCTCCTGCGTCGGTTTTTGCTGAGTCAAACTTGTTAAGGTTTTGCCAATCATCCTGTTAGCTTCGTCAGAGCTTGATTAAAACGTTAGCAAGTTCGACTCAGGAGAATCCAGAAGTTACCTCTCTTCCCTGAAAGTTGCACAACCAATCATTGCCCAAACAACTTTTTGCAATAAGAGACTACTACTTTATTTATTTTCTACGTTATTATTCCGGTTTGGAAAATGTAATATATAGTAATACCCATAAGTTACTCAAGAAACATCTTGCAAAGTAAAAATATAAAATATATAAAAAAAATTGAATTTGAATTTTTTTTATCTGGACGATTTTCACAATAAATCGCAATTTTCCCCATGGTTATTAAATTAGTATTGAGTGAAGTATCAAATGCAATAAAAAATTAGTCAATATAGCTTACTTTATCAGTTCGCGTAAAAGATAACCGTGGTACAATATATATTTATTTATATTGTATAGTATATATTTAAATCTAAATTTAGATCTCAAACAATGATCTACCTACAATTTAAAATCAGTAAAAAATAGCTAGATATTGCATTTCACATATTTTGCCTTAAGCTTTACAACATTCCTTCTTTACAATGTAAGAAATATATACTTTTTATGAATATTGGTTATTATTTTTTTATTTATTGATGAGTATGACCTATTGCTCCTCTCTACTTTTTTAATAAATTGTATAATTTTACTGATATTTTTTTCAATCACAATATTACTAATATCTTAAGAAATTCTCTATGATAATTTTCTATATTTCTCTTGAAAGAGTAGTTCAGCCATGTTAAACTTTGAAGTAATAAACATTTTTTTGCAGTATGGCGATCCTATAGAGGACATTTACTTTATTTCGACTGGGACGTGTGCCGTTTTAAACAGAACCGGCATAGAACTTGACCATTTGCTGGACGGAGAGGAAATCGGTCTCATTGGGATGTTGACAGCTTCGTCCGCCGTAACTCATTCTTACACCCATATTGCCGTGGAATCTACGGAATTATACGTCATATCTAAGAGAGATTTTCGGTTGGTGATCAACGTGATTGAACGACCCGTACAAATGAAGTTTTATTTCGCAGGTTATTTGTTTATGACAAATATGATATATTGCGGTACTTTGCCCAACGCGTTGAAGAAAAGGTGATGAAGTACAAAAACATCGAAGTTACCACGATCCAGCGGGGTTACGATTTCTTTTCGGAATTGAGCGCCGGGAAGATATTGGAACGACCGAGGATACGGACCACTCATTTTGAAAAATGAGCCTCGACTTTGATGTTAACTTTTGTTTTTTTATCTTAATGTATAGGATAATGGAAAAGATAAGTAACTTTAAGAAGATTTATTTTGGTCGCGTTAATGATATCAGAAGCTTAACAATATAAAAACAATTTAAGCAAAACCGAAGTTTTTTGTCGTTGCAATTAAACAATTATTTATATAAATTCTTTTGTGACCAATCGGTAGTGAAAACAATTAAACTAAATTTTATTTTAAATTTAGTATTTCTGGGGGTACCAGCTTAGCCATTGTTAAATTATGTATCAGGAAGTGTTAAAATTTAATAAATGCTTTTGCAGTTACGTCTTTTGGATATAACCCATAATAAAGCCTGTAAATAGGTAGCAAAATATGAACGGATAGGTTGCAATAATAAACAATTTATTATTATCAAGATTTCACTTTGTTTTTTTTTGGGAAGGTCCACTTTACCTGTAGCCTTTCTTTCCTGCAACATGTTAAATACGCTATTAGAGTATTTATATAGTTTTATGAGTTAATTTTCTACCTACGCCTATTGATGACCCTTAAATTTGGTCTTACTGAACGCATTACTCCGTACTATTTAGAAGCATGCTTTAAATTTGAATAATATTTGCACTTGTTGCGGTTTTGAATAACTGCCAATTAAAATTTGGGTAACGCAATGTTTACGCTTTAAACTTATGGATTTGGTGCAAAAAAATATATCGTGTATCGCGTTTTGGTTAGTTCATTAAAAACATTCAAATTAGTAAAATTTGGAATATGTGAGGGTCACGAAACTTTTCCAACTAATCAAATTCCTATATTCCTATTCCTATTTTTTGGTATTTCCGAAAAGTTATTCAATAGATTGGCCATAACGCTTTGTTACATACTAATTTAACAATGAAGTAAGTTATTGAAAATGCTACATTGTGAGATTGTTTTTTGAGTAAGTATACAAGTACTTATTTATTTTTGAAATAAAAATTTTTGATATACAAGGTGTTTTATAAAAAAAGTAAGAAAACTTCTTAACCTGGCATATTTATTCTGAAAGCGACACTGAATTCTTCGCATAATGTTATCAATTCTTCGATAAGTTATCACCCAGAACAGATACAGGGGCCAACTTAAATTACAAATATCCTGGGATAAGAGAATGTTTTGTTTCACAAAAAACGAAGTAGAAAATCTTTGCGAAAACCATCTCTTTTTGTTTTACATTAAACTTACAAAAAACTGGAGTGCCGGTTAGCATGCCGTCTACCTAAGGATATTCAATAGTCAATTTGCTGCCTTAAAACCGAAGCGAAATGTAACAACACACTTATCAAAATTAAACCGACCTTGCTAAAAAGGCACCAATTTCATGGGGGCATTTTGGCTCATATTTTTCATAAAACAAAATCTTCTTTATTGCATTTTGTCAAGATATAGTTACCAAGTAGTGGAGAAGTTGATCAGTGCTGCCGTCTGTGACTTGGCCTTTAACTTGTTGGCATGAGCAGTAGTGACGCCAGAATATCCATGACCATGATGAGAGTAGTTTGTCAGTGTATATTAATTTGCCGTGCCGAAATAAAAGACGGTAGGCCCACAATTTTTATGCAATCATTTCGAATAAGATCTCTTTTTAAAATATGATGTCTAATGAACGTTTTAATATAATTGAATGATAATTAAATAAGTCATTTTGTTGTCATATTTGTGATTTATTAAAAAGACACACATAGTGAGACATTTATGTTTTATTCATTTTTCGAGAACGCTAGAAATTACACTCGGAAGACTACTAATCTTTCTTACACTGTCGAAAACCTGCAAAATGCGCTAGACCTAATAAGAAATGATGGCCAAAAAATTAGGGAAGAAGGACGATGTTTCAAGATATCCGAATCAACACTAAGAAAAAAGCTTGCTTTATGGGAGCCAAATCTCCAAAGGTTCACGGAGCCAAGGAATTAAAAAAAGGGTGTTTTTTCTATCAGTACGGCTGGGAATTATATCTCTGCCGTAGTTATTTAACTTTTAAAAAACTAAGAATGTGTTCGAATGTAACGTGTAATGTTCTAAGAATGGTTAGGTCAATTTTGAATTATTTTGTTAATTGTTATTACATTTCGCAAAACTTTTAAAAATATTCCTTCTGGTTCTAGATAATGACCACAGCTACATTTCGGTTGGTGAATACAATTTTTGTAAAGAAAATAATATCCACACGGTGTCTCTTCCATCGCATACCTTCGATTATCCGTTTGACTTGATAGTTTTTAGTCCATTTAAAATCGTGCTTCATAGAGAATACGATCTTTACATCGCCACTACCGAAAGTCGCACAATGGAGAAATATGTTTTCGACTTTCGTGCTTAGATCCGGACAAGTTTAATGATGATGATTTTGCACCTTCCAATCATGTAAGAGCTTTCGCTATAGAAGGCAGTTCTGACCAAGATGATCCTACGAAAGCCAAAAGTGACGTAGCAGTGGCTGATACTAGGCCAAATTGCTCAAGCAATTTTCAAGATCTTCAGCCAAGTACATCCAAAGAGAGTTTTTTTCTTACCTTGGCTGTTATACCTATACTAGTGTAGACACACCAAAAATTTACAAATGTGACTACTGCTCTTAAAACCAATGTTAGGTTCTTCTATTTCTTGAAATTAAATTAGCTGTTTTATTCTCGAAAACGCTTAACCCATATTATCTCAAGCATACAAAAAAATAAAAAAATACATTTTTGCTCTGAAATTATTTGTTTTGTTGCACTTAAACATACAAAACAATACTGATGCGGAAACGAACCACTGGGAAAAAACATTAAATAAAGTTTTGAGACACATAAGATGTAACATAATTTATAAATAAATATACAAAAGAAAGCTAAAATTCGACAGAAAACAACTAAAAGTAGATTGTTTTCCAAATAGAAGCTGATTTGATACAAAAAAACGCATAATATTTTATGGTGCGTGGGCGCACCACTGGTAACACCCGGTTTCATTTTTGGGGATATTTTACAAAGCATGAAGTATGTAAATGCACATTACACTTATTACAAACGTAAATTGTGGCAGATTCTACATCTCCTTCGGGATTTATTAGCATGAACAATCATGAGGTGTCCTTGATTATCAGAACCCACTTCATCTATGGGAGGTGCAACATTTCTTTGAGTAATTGTTTTATCAGTTTTTAAAAGTCGCAAAGCAATGTAAGATTTAAAATCAAATCAATCACTTCGTCGTCAAAAAACATAAAAAATATTTCAAGCGGACTTTTTCCAGAAAGCCTATTTTTTAGTTGCTCACATGATCTAAATTCATCGGTATAGGTGTGTGAGTGTACTCAATCTGACCTTTCTTCCATTTGACAGTAGAAACGAGCCTGTCGTTTGCAGAAAGCATACGTCTTCTTTTGAATTCCAGGGTTTCATCATCTGATGAGTACCATTCAGGTTCAGTAGTTAATGAATTACAGAACTGTTGAAGGACAACTGTATCATTCGGTGTATGTAACTCGAAAGTTCCAACTATATCACTTGGTTCCCCAAACTCTTGTAGATTTATGTTATCGTTCATGTCTTCTTCGTCAGTCAAGGTATCCACGTCGGGTGGAATATAGACCGCGTCAATATGTTCTGAAAATATTTTTAATAAGAATACGTAAATCCAAATAATACTTACGAATTTTATTCTTATTGTCCTCATCCTTCACGATCTCGTCCATAGCCGCCTCTAATTCCTTGGAGTCAAATACCTCGGAAATGCCATATTTTACGAACTACTGTTTTTTTTAACGTTCACTGCACAAGCACAAACTAATACTAAAGAACACGCTAATTGTTGGATGTTCATTCTACATGCGCTGACTTGTCTAGACTTGCAATAACAAAGTTTTGTTTCACAGATAAAACCAGTGGTTAGTTTTAAAAATGTGATACAAATTTATGTACTGCTTTTGTTTACTTAAGTCTTGTTTTACTTGATACTATTTTTATTTTATGTATAAAAAAAGGTACTTTTGGGGGCAATTAAGGGGCAGCCAGATGTATATCTTCCCGGGTGGCCTAGAGCAGACGTCATAATTAAAATTTGTTTTTCTTTTATTTCCATTGATATCTCAAAGACAATAGTTACAGCGAATCAAAACAGACGGGCCGCCATCACTTCACCCGATGCAGTTAAAAAGAAACCCAAAGTATACTCAACAGGTTTATTGAAATTTGATGTCCGAATTACTCTACAAATAAAAACTATGTGCTTTATTGATATAATTTATAAATAACAAAGGTTTCGTTTTGGTTTCATGTTCCGCCATTTACTGCACTCTCTCGAAAAAACATCAACCCTCAACTGGAACATTAACGGCGGCGCAACAACAACATTCGGTGGTTGCTCACTCGCGTTCACAAATTATCAGGCACATAATTGTCTTTGCCAGGAATCCCTGACCCGCTGGCGTCTCCTAGCCACGGATACTGATTGGGACAGTCGAAACACGTTTCCAGATATCTCGTGTCGGTGAAGTTTTCCCTTTTAAAACTCAGCGCGCACTTGTTAGGCACGTTACAAGGCGTCGGAGGCAGATTATCCTTCTTAGCGCAGCTCCAGGGTTCGTAATTTTTCAACTGGTTGACGATCTTAGGGTCTGTCATCCACGTGAGAGCCTGTGTCGTAGACACAAACCACACGTCGGGCCTAACATCAGTAGATTTGTTTTGAATAAAGAATAATTACTACCGAAAACGTCTTACAGTGTGACCACCCAATCGAGGAACTTTTCTAGGCCTTTCTCCAATTCTTTGATAGAAAACCAGTTCGTGTGGAATGGCATCATATAGGGCGCGCGGTTTTGGTCGTAGTATCTCACGAAATCTTCTTGTAACCACTCGAAAACTTCGTTGGGATCGTGGTTGTGAAGCACGCACTGGTCTAAATACGGACAGTGGCCACCTTCGAAACCTTCTACATAATGAGCGTTCAGCGGAACTTCCCAAACTCCTAAAAATGATTTACGCTCAACGTGTTGCTTTAAGCAAATTTCAACTATATACAGATGACTCATAAATATTGCCCAAGAAAAGGTAATTTCTATTTAAATGCGTATCCATTTAAAAAATCTTAATCTTACAAATCACATTTTTTGAATGCCTCTGTATTACCCGTACTTTTTGAGACGTTAAGCAAGGGAAATATTAAAACCCTAAAACAATTCGAAATGATGGCTATAGCCTCAAGTTATATTCTGAGAAATTAAAATTTTAACTATGCATTATTAAAACAAAAAAAATCACTATTTCAACTTCGGACCTAACTAACAGCTGAGTTAAATTTTAGCGACAGCAATAAGTAAAGATTTAAAAGGTGTCAATTTTTCCAAAAAATTGTGTATATAAGAAAAAAAGACTGTTTTTTTTTTAACATCGTGATGGATTTGGAAAGAGGGAGATTTTTACTCCCACTTATTCAACAAGTTTGATAGACACCGCATTAGTCACGAGCAGAGCTAGTGTTTAATAAATGTTTAAGAAGTTTAAAAACCTGTAGGAAATTATAATTTTTCTACCTCCTGACCTCTTAATGTGACACTTTTCGCACGCCTGATCAGAACATAATTTTAATTTAAAATAAGGAATAGAATATTTTTTATTAGATATGTCTAAGATCAAATTTTTTTTTCGTGTAAAGGATCGAGGAAATTTATTGCATTTAATCGTGTAAGCAAATAAAAATGAAGCTTCTGATTGACTAAAAAGTGAAGTATGAAATGTTCTATCAATAGTTTTTCCTATACATTGTGCTATATTGTTCCTACCTGGAAAGGATTTGGTGGGACATGTTCCCGATTTGCACTCGTGTGGTATTTTGTAGTCCAAGGTATACGGCCATACCGGAATAGGTAAGGCTGGAGCACCAACGGAGCTATCGTAGATATAACCGAATTCTTCCAAGACCTGAAACAAGCTTATTTGCTTTTCATACGGTAATAAAATTAATTAAAAAGGGCGATTTATAAATGCAGCTTTATCTTTTGGGACTCAAAACAACTGATGTTTTTTACGAAAAATGCTGTAGTATTAATTTTAAACTTAACCAAAACTTAGTTTCAAATGGCGCCATATAACGTGCACACGTTTAACTCTTTATTGCATTATGTTTATATTATTATAAGGTTACGAGGTTGGACTTTCTTTTGGTGGCTTTTTTGTTTTTGGCATTCTCCATGGGGGTATTGGAGGGAATCCGCAATAAAAGGTTGCTAAAATAAAGGTCCCCAAAAGTAATTTTTGTATGATTAGCAGTTCTCGATGTACCCATACCAGGAGGAATCCGCGATCATTGCACCCAACCTCCTAACCTTATATCGTGAAAATCCCTAGTTGCCTTCCCTCCGACGTTACACCGTAAGACTAACAAAACTAATGAAATAAGGTTTAAACGTGCGCACATTAGATGGCGCTATTCAAAAATAAGTTTAAAATTAATACTGCAACAAAAATTATATGAATATTTACAAACGTTTTAAAGAGAATTTACCTTGTATTGGGTGTTTCTTCCCGGTTTAAGAAATGGCGCTCTCATCCCAACCACTTCACTTTTGGAAATATTGGCAAAATGTTTTAAAATTTCTCTCATACCGACCATCTCGCCTACCCATTCTTCATATCCTTTGTCTTGAAGACCCGCCTGCAGTCTAACAAAATATATCCGATTTAAAAACCACTTATTTGCGATTTTAATAATAAAAAATAGTGGTTTGAAATATTTTAAAGATTTTTAAATTTAAAGATTACTTTTTTTTTTAAACAATTTTTGAAATGATCGAAATAGGAAAGAAGGTGCAATGCTATTTCGGAACATTGCCAACAGGGCTGGTAGGAATGCATCAACCATCTTGAATGTGTAGAAACACTGAGGTTGAAGTAAGAATTACATATCGCAGGGGAGAAGTAGAAAAATTACTCTGGTTACGATACACCAAATTCAATTCAGATCAACTGAGGTCCGTTTTGTGTCTTGGTTTAAACTACAACTTACGATATTGTTTCGGTGGCGATTTCATGCCCTTCGCTGGCTAATTTTTGAATCATCTGATAATTACTGTACTCGTGTGATACGAAAAACGTTCCTTTTATAGGACATCCGTTGGGATTTTTCCTTCTCCCATTCAACACTTTTTTGTAGTGCTCGTAATTGTTCAGGTTTACAGCTCCATCGAATGTTAATAAAATCATTTGCGGCGTCTAAAGTAGAATTTGTTATTTTTCTATTCTAAAACGACTTGCCAAAAGTTTACCTCTTCGGGTTTTAAGCCACCCGGGATAATGGTACCGTCCTTGGAGCAAAAGCAGTATGGCAATTGGCACTCTGCGAGATTACATTTAGTCGCCAAATCTAGCGGTGGTTCGGTTATTGGTGCCGGAGCTGAAAACATTTTCGTTGGAATTAATAGTAAAACAAAATTATCTCTTTCGTGTTAATCGCCAAAATCAAAATAAAGAAAATCCAGTTTAACATTCTTTATTAGCCAAGATAGAATTCAATATTCTGCACCCTTATAAATTAGTATGGATGTACTTACTTGAGGCAAGAGGACCACATCTGGCTTCGTTTTGGAATGTGCAAAATTTACTAATGTCATCAAAATAGAGCCCCGAAGGACACCTGTTTAGGTATGGATAGCCATCGACACACTAAAAATACAAGAAAAGACATTCCAAGTGGAGCAGGATTTCGATTACTAGTAAATTTACATTTATGTTCAAATGTGATATGTATGATTTATTTTTAAATATATAATTAATATATAATTAGTAAGAGGAATCATCATCATTAACTTACTGTTATTAAGTTGTTTATTTAAAAATGAAAATAAAAGTCTTTATGCAGAATATGTTTAGCTCCTGTTTCTTATTTCAGAAGAAAAAATAAACCCGTCAATGGTTTCTTCAATATGTTTTTCTACTCCAGTCTGTAAAAAACCTAATTACCCCGTCAGTTTCGTTTCCCACGGATCAGATCCACTTCGGACATTTCCGGGATTTTACCGCACGAGTTGAGATCCCCACGAGTTTTTCTACGACCGTTAGTTTTTGGGTACATTTTCGCAAAATAACACGAATATATTCACTGACATGACTGTCAGAATTGTCAAACGTCAAAATTCAAAGCGTGGAAAATATCTCCGAAAACATCCGATTGCTCCCAAACCCGTGCGGTAAAATCCCGGAATTGTCCGAAGTGGCTCGGCTTCGTGGGAAACGAAACTGGTAAAGTGACGCTTCGCGCACGCTAGATCGATGTGTAATTAGGTATTTTACCGACGGGAGTAGAAAAACTTTTTTTTCAATTCACTAGTCTATTAAACACTCGTTCCGCTGCGCGCTGCTCGTGCCAAATAATCTCGTGACTTAAATGCCGTTTACCGCACTTGTTGCATAATATACGATTCTATGCTCCTTTCCCTATAATACCCAATTATAAGCCAGCATGCCGAAAGTAACGAAAGTGTCAATTCATGTCAGACATCATATCAGAGTGGATGCATTCGTGTTGTTTTGCAAAAATGTACCCAAAAAATAACGGTCGTATAAAAAGTATAGTATAAATATGTTTGTGAAGTTTCTCAGACACTCGTCTATTAAGCACTAGTTCCGCTGCGTTTTACCACACTTGTTGCTTAATATACTATTAGCACAAATTATATAAGAAGCTTCTATTGTACAAATACTCTTATACCGGCAGTAGGCTAACTATACAGTTCTGCACGCAGTTGCCACTCATTAATTTTTAATAATAATTTATAGAGAACAATCGTGTTTTATTTCGGTATTTGTAGGTATATTGAAACCTTTCTAAGAAATAATGAAATAAACATTTTTCCTACACTCTACCCCACAGTCACAAGCCACTTCCGGTATTTTGGTCACGGGTTTGGTAGCGATCGGATGTTTTTGGTAGATTTTAGCCATGGAATGTCATTTTATTCAAGTTGTTGTGCAAAAATGTGGGCGAAAATTAATGGTGATTGAAAAAGTATATTATCCAACACATTACTCGTTTATTACTCGTTCCGGTTACACTAAATGCATTCTAGTGCTATGCAATTTCTGGCACGGCAACGGTCTTGTTTACGAGATTTGTTTGTATTTTTAAAGCCTTAAACTTGGGAGTGAAATTCGTAATTTCTGTAGATCGATTATCTTTTATTTCGATTTTTCATTTATTCGATAAAAAAATGTGTTGTTTTAACTAGTTAATTGGTTACCCACCTGGTAAAATCGCCTGCAAGTAGCAGGGTCGGCAAAATTTCCTGTACCGATAGACGATGGGCACTGAAATTCTTCACCTTTCTTGTCATTTTGGCCGTTAACTGTAAAGAACCTACAGATAAAAATCACATAATAATACCAATGATATTAAAGAATTTGGAATTGCTAAAATCCGTGCGACCGTTATCGTCGGTGCGCCGCTGTTTTCGAAAGGGGATCAAAAAATCGACACTGGCATAACCGAAATGAAAACAAATTTCCAAAGTGGTTATCCTCGCCTCAATTTACTGCGAAATATTTTAAATCATTGTTATTCGACGCCAATAAACGCGTTGAAATTTCCAACCGATACCGAAACAGGCAAACGATTTAAAATCGTTAAAAAGGAAACAAATAAAGGAAAGTGTGCGTGTGTTCTCGGATATCAGCTCATATCATCATCCACAATACTTTCTATTTTAGCCTCAATTATGCACGACCGCTTTATGGTGCCTGTCTGTTGTATTATTATTTTTCAAGGTCCTATTTTAGAAATTAGACTATTTAATTCGTTTCAGGTTCTGAAACGTGAATCATGATCCACGAATGGGGTAGAACCAGTATCGAAACGTTGCAAGCCATGCTGAATAATGTCCACAATTTCGAATGCCACTATGGTTGAAATATAACCGAAGCTATAAATTTATTATAGTATATACAAATATACCTCATTGTCATGTTACAAAAAAATTGAGCTATACACTTTTAATTATTATTATTATTAAGATGTGTGCTTATATATGTGGAATACATTTAATTATTATTATTAAGATTAAGATTAACTCGTGATTGGAATAACAATTAAAACTCTAAAACATTTTGACACATCAACTGCTGCCAGTTCAACTGCAACCACATGTACATTATTTTATTTTTTAGATACTACCTCTTTCTAATATTGTTTGAATATTGTTTGAAATAAAGATGATTAAAGTGCTTTTTGTTCGAAATAAGTAGAAATCTTTGCATATGTGTAAATAGAGTAAACCTCGAAACATCCTTTTATAGAACCAAATATGTAAGAAACCTGCCGTACATATAAATTCTAAGCCTAAGTATATTTCCAAAAAAAACATACTTACTTCACTGGCACCCAATTAAAATGAATTAATTAATAATTACTACAACATTTTGACGAGAACTTTGTTATTCACTTCTACGGGACTATTAGGTTTCAAGTTAACAGTAATTTGCATGGATAAAGAAATAAAACATTTCGGATAAATCCATCGTTTTACTTATAACTAACAAACAAATATTTCCTTTATCTTGAGTTTAATGATTTTTTTTGGCTCTCTTGCAACAACAAGAAAAAAGGGTAGATAGTTTTGAGTAGTTTTGCAATAATTTGCATGCAGGTTAGTTTTGAGCGACATCCAAAAACTATGGGGCTTGAATCGAGATGAATTTTTATTCTGATTTTCCTCGTATATAAATTGTGGAAACCTAAACGATATGTATTAATCTGGTGGGTTTTCCTTTCTTAACTTAAAAAGTGTGAAAAAATTTGGGCAAAAATCAAAAGATTATACAAGATGAAAATTTGTTTGTGCGGCAGTAGTTTTTTGTCTATTGAATTGTACATGGGGTTTGTTTCTTAAAAAACGACAGGGCAATAGGTAGTTTCTATATAAATAAATAAAAGCAAAACATGGGAAGCAGAAAGTGTTGTTTATCTACTGATTTGGTATAACTTGGGTACCGCAAGAGAGAAACATACGTTCCATTTCGCAATACCGGAAATGCTCTTTTTGCACCAAAACCAAGTAATAACTGCTGACGCAAGAAAGTAACGAGTCATCGGTTCGGGATAATACAAGGATTTCGAAGTTTTACCTTCAGCGATAAAAATTACACACACCGCACTAAACACAGTCAAAAATTTCATTTCTTTCGATTTCTACCTCGACACTGACACTCACTTTCCCTGCGACCGAACTGAACAATGTTTGCCTGCGATATAGTTTAAGACGCGACGGTTCTTGCGATCGTCGGTGTTCCTGCAGCCGCTGTTACTTCTTGTTTAAAGCTGTCGAGCAGATAAATGTTTGAAATGTGGCGGTACTTTCCTTGCACCATATCGACTAAAGCTACTGCCGTTTATTTGAATTTTATATTAGTTATATCAATTTTGTGATATAAATACGTACTGCAAGAGTGGTGGACAGAAAGGCTGTCGAGTTTACTTCGCAGTGTTGCCGTTGGAAGAAAACTGGCAACATCTACATTATCGAATTTTCTAAATAAGTATCATTTTTTGAGATAGAAACTTTTAGTCATTTCCGTCGTAATTTATAATAATCTTATTTTTTAAGAGCAATTTTGACCATATTTCATACAGGGTGTTTCAAAAAGTTGTTTAATTTTTTTTTGTTATAGAAATAGCTAGAGATTTTTTTAAACTTTTGTTAATAAATATAAGTTAAATTGCAAACTAATAGTGTAATAAAATCATTAATAATTATATGTAGCCATTCTCGAGTTTGTTTAGGCAAGAGGAGCGAGTATTTAATAAACGAGTGTCTATAAAGTTTATCAAACTTGCATTGTATTACACTACTTTTTTTATAATTAGTTTCCCGGAACATTTTTGCAAAATATCAGAATCTATTGTGTTGTGTGTCTAACGTGACCATTAGAATTGGCAAACATCAAAATATAAAAACATATCATTGCTCACAAACGTCCAAAATGACTCGCGACATAAAGAAAGTAAAATTCTAAGAAAATGATCCTAAAGGGTCGAATTTGCTAAAATGATGAAGTTCGGAAATACTTACACTTACATACATGCTCCTCTACATATTATAAAAAACGAAATTCTACTATAAAAAGCTTTTCCTTATTAATAATATAATATTATGCAACATATTATGAAGGAGTAGGGAGTCGAGAAAATTTGTTTTTTAAAATTCCAATTAAGACTACTTGACGATGACTTTAATTCATTTAATTTAATTTGAAAGATTTAACTTAATACAGGTGAATTATTTTTTCTCCTATTTTTGAAATAATAAAAATTATGATTTATTATTATTTAAATATAATAGAAAAGCTTTTCATAAATAAGTTTCCTTATTTTAACTAACCAAATCCAAATGTTGAAACCCTACTATTCTTAAGTATAAAGTTGTATCGATAACAATAATATTACGTCATTCATATACCTATATTTTATTCAAGAACGTGGTCATTGCGGTACATGCGCGTGAATGAATAATTTAAAGGTTTGTCACAAATGTTGGCCTCGCTACCAAAATTCAGGAAAAACACGTTTTTCTCGCTTATTTCTATCTTATTTTGGGATTGGAATAATATTATTGGCAATGCAGGTTAGAGCAAACCGAAAAATAGACAGTTGGAGGTCACAGAAAGTGAAGTTCCTGCCCCGAGTACCACAACTTTAGCACAAAAGAAAAAACAATGAGTCTTAAATAAATTGGGATTCACACTCTCAAAAGATCCGTACTGAGTACAAGATATATTCACTAAGAAAACAGGGGTCATCAAAGTGTGACAAAGACCGCTCTTCGCACTCAAGAACTTCCCAGGCATGAATTACAAGTTGTCTTCATCAAGAGTGCTTCATTATAAAGAAAATTGTAAATATAAATCTGGCTTCTCAAGGTAGTCGTCTTTGCGGCCGAAACATTTATCTTCCCCAAATAAAGAGAGAGGTTAAAATACAAGTCTAAACACGGCTCAGATAGTAAATTAATTTTATAAAATGCGGTTAAATTATTTTACTTTGGTTAATTATCTATAGCGGTGGTTTCCACTATACAGTGTACTTACAAACAAAATAAAATTAACATTTTACAAAATAAAGTAGAGGTTATTGGACATGATATAAAAAACAACATTTTACGCTATTGTTTAAGCTAAAAAAACTTTCAACTTCTATTAAACATACTACGATGAAGGTATTTCATTGGCACCTAAGGAATTTTTATTTTACAATTTGACCTCTTTAAGTAATGGGCGCTGTTCTTTTCTAAAATTTTAATGCAATTTCTATTTTTTCATACTTTTTATAATGATAACCATTTAGGTAACTTTAGCTTTTTGATTCTTGGGTATGCTAGGTAGCTGATTAATTTTTTGCAAATCCAAAATGTTTTAATTGACAACCATATTCTCAAAACAGTCGCAGCTGAAGTATTGGATAAATTGCTTATTGAATAAATTTAAATCATGAATAATTTTAGCTGTGAGAACATTTGAGCACACATTTTTATTAACTTTCAATTTTCCGAGCAAAAGGTACCTAAATACAATTTTACTATGACCGCAATGATTTATTAAAAATAATTAAGAACAAACACATTTATGATAGTTTTGACTCTTTGATTAACTAAAATGCAACTGAATCTTTTAAGCTGAGTAACTGTAAATATTATCAGATGTACTTTAAAAACATTGGACAAATGAACATTTGGACAAATACGGCCATCTCATTTGTCCAAATGTTCTCCATTATTTTAAATAAATCATTGCGGTCATAGTAAAATTGTATTTAGGTACCTTTTATACGGAAAATTGCATATGGCGATTATCACGAAATATCTTTATCCAATACTTCAGCTACGACGATTCTGAGGATATGGTTGTCAATTAAAACAATTTGGATTATGAAAAAAATTAACCAGCTACCTAGCATACCCAAGAATCAAAAAGTAAAAGTTACCTAAATAGTTATAAGGGTAAAATGTATCCGTATATCTTCGTCTAAACCTCTCTCCTTATTTGGGTAAATGTTTCGGCCGTTTTGGGGTGTTCGTCGCCGGTGCCTCGGGTGATTTGAACAAATGCACGTTATAGCATTTGTGGTTGTGCGACCGCAGGCGTTTGAGAGCAATCGGATGTTTTCGGAGATTTTACCGCACGGCTTGAATTCTGATGGTCATGTTAGTTTTGTTTTGCAAAAATGTAAAAAAAGTGTACACGTTTGGTAAACTTTTTATGTGCCGTTTACCATACTTGTCGTATAATATACTATTAAAATATTGTCGTGGCCATACCATTCTAGTTGTAAATAGACAAACCCTTTATATAATTTCTATATTGATTATTTTGAATATTAACAGTTTTTGGCAGTACATTTCTACATTACTAAAGTAAAATTCGAAACGGGTTAGAAGGTCAGTTTTATGAAGAGTGTCTACATGATAGTTATTCAGTAAATTCAAATGGCGTCCATATATTACCAATTCCTATATACAAAAAAATTAATTAGTTTTTATTCTTGGAAAATTGATCCAAACCTGTCTATCAAATAGAATAGACAGGAATTTGCCAGCGGCTTCCAAGTAACGCTTCAAAAGATCTTGTGTTTTTACTACCTAAAGTTTTTGGTTAATTAATTCATTTCTGTTAGTTCACAATAATTCACGGACGTAAGTAAATTTTTGAAATTATAAGGGTAATAAATATGTAAACGTCATTGAAAAATTAGCAAAAGCGGATATTTCAATTCCATTCCATTTCAATTTGCACCTTTTTATCTTTTATGATATCCCCATTCATTTGAAATTCCCTCCGAGGTGACGACTGTTGGTACTGTGGCTACGCGCAACAAACTAGTTACCATGGCAACTCCATCACCGAAAACAAGTAAATAAAATTGACTGTCAAGAAATAATAGTAAAACAATTGAATTGAATTCTCAGAATTCAAAAGATTTTGTACTCACGTATTAAAAAAAATGAATTGGGATGAAGACATTGACCTTCTAGCTGGGAAAAAGGTAATGAACGAGTGAATAGGTTATAATATTTTAGTTGTGTGGTCGAATTGTTCTGCAGATTGTTTAAATGCAGTTCATTAAACTTTATTTAGTTGTGCTATTTCAGTTCTATTCATTTAATTGTCCTCTTAGTTTGAAGGCTATTGGTTTAAGTCGATATATAGTGTCGAGCTTATTTGGATACTTGGTCAAACTTTTCGTTAAACATAGGTATTGAACAAATATTCGAAATTAATCTACGAAAGGTTACCAAATTTCGAATTTAAGTTTCAAATTTTAACCATTCTTGCGATAATTTGCTTATTTTCGCCATAACGTTTCATATATAGTACTATATAGTATATAGTATATATAATAGTAAAGCGCTGCTGTGTATAAATTATAAATAAAATAATGCACAATTTGAACATTTCTAGAAATTTTTTTGTTTACATTAGATTCTTTAAACATTAGCAATCAATGTATTACATGTTTATGATGATATGATTTGTACCATATATGATTTGTGAAACCTGAGGTCACCAAAACCGATTTGGATTGCACGTAGAACTGGATCTACTATAAAGGTAGGAATAAAATTTTAACCAGCATCGTTCTTCATTGATTGCTCTCCCGGTTGATTTTTTTTTATTAAGGACTAACAAATTTCTCCAACCAATTAATCAAATAAGTTACATGGTATATATATATATATATATATATATATATATATATATATATATATATATATATATATATATATATATATATATATATATATATATATATATATATATATATATATATATATATATATATATATATATTTTATTGGATGATTCTTAGGATTTGGTCCACAGTGAACAAAACTCACAAATAATTTTAAAACACGTATATATATATATATATATATATATATATATATATATATATATATATATATATATATATATATATATATATATATATATATATATATATATATATATATATATATATATATGACAATAATATAAGTTTACGAAAAGTTAAAAAAAGCAAAAAATTGCAAACATAGTTACTAGTAAATAAATAAATAAAAATTTGTATTTTTATGGGAATACTATTTACTTAATACATAACAGAAGCCCATTAGTAATAATCATTAGGAATGTTACAGTCAGCTGCTAAGCTGGGTAGAAGATCTAGTAATATTACTCCGCCATCGCATAATAACGATGAAATTCTGAATGTCAACGACTTTGAAAATAACCCTGAAACTCGCGAAAAACCCATACAGGCAAGAACAACGGGAGTTTGGGTAGACGATGGTGTTAAATCGGCAAAGTTCGTATAAAAAAAAAACACAAAAAAACTTCCGAAAGACCGTTTTCTATTCCTAATTTTTTGCATTTCAGGACCAGCAGAAACACTGCAAACATTATCGAACTGTAAGTAACATAATTATTATTATCGAACATGGTTCGGATTTGGTTCTTTAAAGCAATGTTTACAATTAAAAAAAAGTATTTACCCACTAAGAGGGCAGGAAAGTCTTAAACTTTTAGCGAAAGATTTCAAAGCGAAACCAAACGGGATGACGATGACATACCCGAAATTCCAGACATTGAGGATTTACAAGACGACCCCTTAAATCTTCCTGATGTCAAGCCCGTGTAAGTTTAATTTAGAAAGTTTGTTTTGACCTTATCGCTTAAGCAGATTATAAACATTAAATCTAAAATATTTTCCAGGGTAACCGTGGATAAATCAACTTACAAGGAACTGGATAATCAGCTTGGTAACATACAAACCGATAAAATAAATTTTGGTAATTTGGGAAACATAGACCTATCATTCTTGACCAACAAACTTTACCCAGAAAAAGATGTGCAAAGCAAACCCGAAATCTGGACAATGGAAAGTCTATTTAACGAATTATCGAGAAATAACTAACATTAATATTATAATTTTAAGTTAATATAATTTGATTTTATCCTATTCTTGTGCCTATATATTTCGAAAAGTATAATGCGCTAACATAATGGAATCTTGCGTGGAAAAATGTCTTTTTGTGTGATGCCAAACCAATTAACACAGGATGGTGTTAGTGTTATTCTATGCCTATATAATCCTCGTAGTACTCACCATATCAACTATAAACTGTTAAACTTATATGCCTCAGACGGCTACGACATTATCGTAAAGAAGGGAATGATCTTCCGCGCATGTCCCTTAATTTAACACCCTAACTTTTGTACTCTTTTCTAAACAGGATCTTTGCACTGTTAGTTGGTGTTAATGGGCATTTTTTGACACAATACTGTCGAAAAATGGAAGTGGAAAACTGCCGAATTGATGATATGTGGGCATCCATGATGATTGTGGAATGTGGTAAAGTATTATTGATTGTTGGAAGTGAATGTATCTCATTATGTTTGCCTCAAAAGTGACTATTATTGACTGTGGTCTATTGACTATTGTAACTTAGACATTTAACAGTTAGAGGTCAAGAAGACGGGACAGCACATTTTTATAGGTTTTATATTTTATCAAAACAAACATCTCCCTCCCAAGAACATTACATCAATGCTCACAAAACAGGAACTTTTAAAACAACCATTAAAAAGTTGCAAAGGGTAATCTGCTCAGACCCAGTCATTTCAAATCTCGTTTTCAACCGTTAAGGTTTGTTATTTTAAACAAAACATAGCACCTTATCTATTTGGATGTGGAATATTTTGATCAGGATTTTGTCAAAATATACCCTAATTAAGAAAATAAAAAGAAATTTTAGATGTTAAAGTGCGGGGTTGTTATTAATTAAAATCGTGTTTCAAAATGACGTTTATTTTTTAATTCTATAGGTTTTGCAGTCAAAAAGCATTTAACCACAGGCAGTTTAATGTATTTGGTCACAAAACTTTTAGTAGAACACTTTCACTAAAAATACTACAGCTGGAGGGAAAAAAAAGTTTAGATAAAATTTAGAACTGCCATTACACAAATCTCCTTTACAAAAACACATCAATACCCGTTTGTAGTTCCATTTTGTATAAGCGCACCTATCTTCGCTATCTGAAGGACCCCTCTGCAGGCAAATTCTTTGGGTTGCAACTCCATACTCTGAAAATGATTACATTTGCACTAAACTTGCACTATTTATTTATACGGTGAGTTTTGCTTAGTTAGTTGTTTAGCGTTGCCAAGTTTTGTGGTTTTGCGAGCGTGTTTTCATGGGCGCTTCACAGTTTTAAAAAAATCCACTTTAAGTCTTCGTATCTTCGTTATTATTAAAAGAGCAGAAAAACAGCGCAAAGGAAAATCTTTTGTGTAATTAGTAATTAGGATGTTGCATCAAATTTTATTATACCTACCATTGGCACTATTACTTAATTTTTTTTAATGGAATCCATAGTAATCCAGGAATATGCTAACTATATCAAATAAAATAGAAAATCACCCATTCGGCGTTTATTTTTAAACATTTGATTTACGTGATGAGTTATATTAATAAAAAACTTTAAAAAAATCTATATGTATCAAGTAAAGTATAACATTTTTTAAAAATACTTTATACTAAATGTGAAAATTGCAAAGCCTTTTAAAAAAAGTATATAATTAAAAAACTGAAAGAAATAGATAACGCGAAATCTAAGATTCATAAAAACACATATTTTCTAATATAAAAAATATGTTTTTTTAAGAATATGTATAGTGTGTCAAATTATATTTGAGAAATCCAGCTACCAGGTAATATTCTGAAAGCAAATATCTTGTAGGTGTCGTGGTGTGTAGATAGATATTGTTGAAAAGAAAACGACTGAAATGATGTAATAGTTTTTAAGCATTCTCAACAAATCTTAACTTATGTACAACGAAAAACGGTTTGTGCAAACTGCAAATTATATTAATTATCGATAACACGCACCTTCTTTCAAGGCATTTTCGCTTTCCACGATTTTCCCACACCATCCTGATGCACAGGGCACTGTTTCCACCCCGATTTCTTGTTTGTTTTCTACTAAAGTCACATTGTGCACGAAGGGATCCTTGCAACTGCCTAGTTCGCCTCTGGATCGACAGGTGAAACACCTTTGAAGGCCTAAGTACGCAAAGCACTTGAAAATAATGCTGAGAAAATTGTTTTGTTCACAAAATATTACTGAATTACCTTACTGTTTAACGAGTATTTGGTGACAGCTTACTGTTATTATTATAAACACTTATGACCCGGAAAAGACTTTAACGGTACTGCATTAAATTAAACTTTAGAATCGTATTAATTTTAAAGCCGTACTTACCATTGCAAATTTCAAAAAAATATATAGAATGCAATAAAAATAGATTAATAAAACTAATAACGTTCATGATTGGAAAAAAATTGTCGACTATATCCAAGGAGACGCATTTCTTGGCTCCCGTGCAGAGTGTAATAACTTTCACTAAAGCTTAAGAACATGTCTGACTAATGTAGAGAAGGTATGCAACTGATTATTTTAGGTATAAGAGGTGCGGGACATTTTCACGCAAAAGCGATTTATATTTTTAATACTTTACTTTAGATAATAATTGAAGTACAGGCAAATGATAATATTTAAAGTATTATATAAGACGTAGACCTTTAAGCCAAGTATTTTTTACCATTAACTAGTGCAAATGGCGAAAATCATATTTTCAAGTCAAACAACGTCTTAATTTAAAAAAAAAACGAAACCAGTAATTTTATACATGCGAAAGCAATATTAAGCTCAGAAAGAAGAAGAATGCAATGACTTGATTAACTAATTGAAAATTCTATGGAATTTGTAATAATAATAATAATATTAGAATAATAGTCTTTATTGAGAATTAAGATACATCAGAAATATTTGTACATGATGTACAGGATGTAGTGCTATATTCTCAAAGGGCGAAGTCTAGCTGACTAAGTTAGTTACTCAACATTAACCGTACTCGGTAAATCTATCTACTATACACCTTTCCGTAATACATTATACATACATTTTACAGATTTATACTATAAATACTTATACTTAGTACTACAAGAGAACCCTTACTAAACAAATATAAAATAAAATAAAAACAAAAGGAAGAAAAAGTATTCAAGTATTCAAGCCACATAACGAATATTTGCCACCAAAAAGGAAATAGTTACGTCACATGTGTATTGTACACATCTATGGATGGTGTATTCAAAATAATTGCCAATTTTTCTGTGGTCCATACCGATGGTCATAATTATGTTTTCTTTCTATCATCTATGACATAACAGTTGCGCCAACATGGTCGTTAAAAATGTTTTTATATTGTAAAACTATTAACACAACATAATTTTAAAGGACCTGTGAATATTGTCATTTGTTGTTGGGCAACAGAATCGCTCAATGCAAGATAATAAAAGTTCAATGTTTATCAGGGACCGAAAAGCGACAGGGTGAGGGTCACTGGCGCCACTTTCAATTTTCAGTGGATTATCATGCACCATAAAATCCGTTTGTAAAAAGCATATAAAACTACAATAAAATTACAAACAGATTAACAATAAGCAACTTCTGTTATTTTTTGTAAATTCCAATGAATATACTTTGGAAGCTTGGGAGTTTAATTAGACGAATTAGCGATGCGCGTGCGCTTGACTACCCACAATTCATCAGAAGCGACGTTAACATGGCGAAAATCAAATATTTCTGACTAAAGTTAGTTAAAAATCGTCTAAATAGCGAAAATTTTGCTTCTTATACTGGAAACGGTTTGTGCAATGTGTTTTGGTATTACATTTATGTACTGTTCTCAGAAGATCTCTGGCTAGATTTTGAATATTTTTGAGTTTGTTTTCATTTGCTGCCAGTATTTAAATTTGAATATGGTGAAATGCCAAATTCAAATTTTTGTTTTAAATTTTGGGTTGAAATTTTTCATAACTCATTATTTTAGATAAATTTAGGCATGAAATATTGTGTTGTAATGGCAATGCTGTTTAAATGCCTTAATATTTTAGGTTACTCTTACAATTTTACTTGGATCCAGGTCAAAGTAGCCTATGCCCAAAATCGAAAAAATGACCAACGAAAATCAGGTCAGAGTGAAAGAAGAGGTCGTTGATGAAGACGAAGACATGATAGATGACCCCAATACTTTGGGGCCAGCTGCATTGGGATTACAAAGAGTAGGAACTCAGCCTCCACCAAAACCTTCACCCTCACAGCCTACTCAGGTATTAAATGCGCGAGGAATGCCTGCTAGGATAAGAAAAAAGAATCGATTGTTCTATGATGATGATATTGTTAATACACCACATCATAGAGTGCCTAGTGCCAAAAAACAAAAGTCCACACCAAGAAAACACACACCTAAAGTTAAGTCGGAAACTCCTAAAACTAGTCCAAAAAAGGCACATACTGTGATTACTCCTCCCAGACTCAATTCTCCTGACAGAAAAATTGGTCAAAAAATAGGTTTACGTCTGAGGAATCTGCTGAAGCTGCCCAAGGCCCACAAGTGGGTGTGTTACGAGTGGTTTTATAGTAACATCGATAGGTGCTTGTTTTCTGGGGAAAATGATTTTCAAATTTGCTTGAAAGAATCATTTCCAGAGCTAAAAACTAGAGACTTAACTAGGGCAGAATGGACAAAAATTCGTCGAATGATGGGCAAACCAAGAAGGTGTTCTCAGTCCTTCTTTAATGAAGAACGTTTGGAATTGGAAAAGAAACGTAAGAAGATTAGAGCTCTGCAACAGCGCAAAGCAACAGATCTTGCTAGTTTTAAAGATCTGCCCCCTGAAATTCCAATGCAATTGGTTATTGGCAGTAAAGTAACAGCAAGGTAATATATATGTATATTTTTGAAGATGTTTGAAGAAGTATTTGTTTTTTTACTTCTAGGCTCCGTAAACCTTCAGATGGGTTGTATACAGGCAGTATAGATGCGGTGGATACTTCAAATAATACCTACCGTATAACTTTTGAGAGACAGGGTTTAGGAACACACTCAGTACCTGATTATGAAGTTCTCTCCAATGAACCCCCAGAAACAATTACAATTGCCAGTTTCCAAAAAAAATTCCGGCCAAGGAATGGTTGGTCACCTTTTTCACCTTCACTTAAGAATCAGACTCTAAAATTAAAAAAAGATCCACTCCTATCAAGTATGTTAAAATTTTAGAAATTTATAGAATATTAATATTGTTTTCCCAGGTTCAATGATTAATAGTCCTGTTTTATACAACTCAATGAGCGAAGGCAAAATTGGTGGGTTTCCAGCAGAACTATTAGAAAAAATGGTTTTGGTAACAAAAATTCTTAAAGTAAAAAAGGGTAGAGTCAGGCAACTGAGAAATATGAACCTGGAAGCTGAAAAGTTGAACTCCTTTGATGAGGAGATTCCCGAAGAGTTTGAAAGCCGCTATGCAAGCATTCTTCTTGATTTGGAAAAACTCAACTTTGATTTGCAGGTGTACCTTAATGATATGCAGGTACTGGAACATTTTTGTGGTACTTGATCTAAAATTATTTGTTTGATTTTTTATAACACCCTATTTTATTCTTGCATTGTAGGTTAAAGGTTTTGCCATGAAAATACATCAATTAATTATCTTTACAATGAAAGTAAAGGTATTTTGAACAATAATTGTTGCAGATTGTTTTAGCATCAGATTAGAAAAAAAAGTGTAGACCCATAATTATTGTAATATTTTTTTAGATTTACTGTCAAGAAATCGCCCCAGAGCCAAGTGTGGCGGCCATGCTTGCGCCCTCTCATTTAAGAGAGAGATGTCAGGAAGAAGCAAGGGATATTGTTAATAAACACAACTCGGTCATTGCTGCTGACAAAGGTAAATTTGTTTGATATAGCCTTAATCAGTTATAAAAAATTGTTTTAATTACATAGGTCCATGTCAAAATGCAGATGTGCTAGATTTAATCACTGACTTGACAGCTCTGATGTTACAAGTGAAAACACTTGCAGACTCAGATCATAATGCTTATGAATTGCAAGTATTAGAAGGCACGATGGAGCAAATCAAAAGGAAATTAAGCCCGTCCAACAAGCAGGTTTTTCAGAATTGTGTGGAAGTGCATATGAAGCATATAGAAGTGGGCCTGACTCAAATAAACCTTGATAAATTGGTGATCGGTCCCATTGGGAGCGTCTAAGAAAGTAGTATATTTTAGAGATGTGATTAAAAGTATAGTAAGTGTAAATAAGGGCATTATGAAAATCTAGAAAAACAATTATGATGCTAGTTAATGTGGGCTATGCCATGCAATGGCTTAAGTACTAAAATTGTAAAAAAGTGTATTTTCAAAATTCTTACATTAATTGATAAGCACATTGTTAAAATAATTAATATGTCCAAACACTAATTTTATTATATGTACATAGAATTTAGAAAATTTAAATGAGGTTGACATTCAATGCTCACCAAAACTAACCAAAGTACAGTTGGAGTTGAATAAGCAGTAAATGTTGAATCAAATTTATAATAATTTTTTTTAATTAAATATAGAAAAACTAATAGGGGCATAGCAAAATGGAACCCGCAAAAAAAATAATGCACAAACTGCTAATATAAAGTTGGTTGTGCTGAAATGAGTTCCAGCAGGTGTTCTTTGGCGAGTTTTGATAAAAACGTCTATAGATATGAAATTTGAATGTAATTAATATTAGAATTATTTTTCAATATGTTCAGTGCAATAGAGTAGATTATATTGTGTAACAGATTAAGTCCCATTTATTAGAAACTTTTTACGCATCCCATTTTATACAAATATATTAAACACTTTTTGTTGAGAATTGGTTTATGTTCTGCATATTTGTCATTTGTTTTGTAATAAAATTGTTCAGGGTACTGCCTCCATTGACTTATTTTAATAATTGAGATATGTGAATTAAGTATTTTTATTTTAATAAAATGCTTAATTAAAAAACAAACTATATTGAGCACAAAAAGTAAAATCAGCAAAAATTGGGGTTCTTATCTAGTTTTTATGTTTTTCCAATGTTTCCAAAAGATTGTCTGCGTCCTCTGATGACTTGACCCTTAACAGAATAGGTACAGGAGTTGGCTGCGAGTTTGGTGTAGGAATTGTAACTAACATTACATCTTTCTTTCCTATTCTCTTAATAGGCAAGCTTTTTGAAAGGATGAAATTGCATAACAACTGACCCAAGTTTGTATCAGCTCTCACAATTAACTACAAAAAACAACAATTTTAAGTTACACCAATGTGAAAATATGCAAGAGTAAAAGAAATATATAATATAATACCTGAACTTTTTCAGTCTTTTCAATGGGTTTTAGGTACAAACTGCCCACTCCCATGTCACTAAAATTGTCACCTTTCTTGACAAAAACTTTGCACCTAGTGGTGTAAAAGTGATCCTTTTCCACAACTGCTGTAAATGTCACTTTTGGGGGCTCTTCATCATCGTCATTGTCTTCTGCAGTTTGTTCTGTGGTTTTAACAGAACTTTGTGAACCAAAACTATTGCTAAACACTCCTGAGGAACTGCTTCCAAAAGAAAATGAAGACGTGTGTGGGCCTGAAGTGGTTCCTTAATTTGAGTGTTAATCTAATTGCACAAAAACCTCTTAAACTTACCTAAAGAAAATGGTTTTGTATTGACTACATTTGATACACTTGCTTCAGGCAAGCCAAACTTAAATTGTGTAACTGTTTTATTTTCTGCAGTCTTCTCTGAGGTGCTATCAGGAACTGGCATATTTTTAGAGTAGCTAAACAATGGTGTAGAATTTGAGTTAGCTACTTCCTGTTGACCATTCTTTTGTTCGTCATTTTCTAATTCATCTAGATATTTTTTATAATCATTAAATATAGGTTGCAGACTAATCAAGGGGTTCTCCTCTACTTTTTGAACAATCCACTTAGAAACACTTTCGTTCAGGCCTTTCAGTTTAGAAAAGTATGTATCTGAATGTTTTGATCCTTCCCCGGGAACTGAAGTGATGACTTCATTGCTGTTAGTACCCTTTATTGTGGCATTTGTCAAGGGAACAGCTCCAAAAATACTTCCACTACTTGAAAATATATTGGTTGCCTTTTCTGTCCCATTTACTTTTATAGAGCTAGATTTTGAGACATCATTAATGAAGGAGAAATCTGACGAAGGCTGGCTACTTTGAAATGCTGTGAAGCTAGCAAATATATTTTTCTTTTCTTCAATATTGTTTTCCTAACAACAAAAAACCTTTATTCAAATTTGTTAATAATATCCTAGTTTCATATTGAACTTGGAAGAGGAAATAGAATTAAAAACTAGACTATGATTGATGTACTGACCCTAACTGATGATATTGGATTCCTTCGTTTGGCCGTTCTGATTACTCTGGCTTTCAGAGCGTCGTCGGAAGCTTTCTTAAATACTCCTCTCTCTTCGGGCTCCTCGTCATAGTTCCAATTTTCGTGATTTAGATCACTAGTGGCACTTCTTTTACCAGCCATCGGCGGTTTGTCCGACTTCACACTACGCCTGCATTCGCTAAATCTCGAGATGAATTGGCAAATCGTGTTTTTAAAAAACTTTATGAAAATATGTTCTACAGAAATTATCAGCTTTTAGGGACGAACCAAAAACCTATACAGAGAACATCTGAAATAATTCCGCCAAAACCCAATACACAAAAATGAGGTTGACAAAATTGACATATGTGACATTGTCACAGATCACAAAGTGCGCCATGGAATATATTATTAGGACTGTTGGTGTTTTGTGGTGCCTAAATTAGTTATTACATACATATTAAAATTGATTTGTTTCATAAAATTATATCGAATTGTGAATGGAAACAATAGCGCATCAAAGTTTACAGAATACATACTATTTTGCAGACTTTGGACAAACCAAAAGTTTTTTTATCGCATTGCAGCAAAACAATTCCACAGATTTTGTAAAATTTCTATATTATACTTCTACAATTTCTAAGTTTAATTTTTTATTTTTTATGCTACAGTAAATAGCATTGATAGATTTTCTTAACAATAGGTATTTCTATTTTCCTCTAGTACAGCTTCCAAAAAACTACGAACCTGTAAATTTCAAGTAAAAAATGTTATCGACACAGATTTCAAATATTAAGAACTAAATTCTGAAGTTACTTACCACGCTTATTAAACCCATAAAACAACTTTTAAAATATTTCTTGATTTCGTTTTTATTTAATGATAAAAATTAAAAATGTCCGTTTTAAAGCAAATTGACATATAATGAGTATTTTGAAGTACATATGAAGTAGAAAAATATACAATAAAGGGTGCAGGAAAATTCATTAAGTTGATGTTAAGGGCGTATGTTCTTCGTTTTTCACTATAAAATTCCTGCTGCTTGCACTCACGTGGCCGACTTTATATTTTTTGTACCTCACACAATTAACCAAAAGGTGGCAGTAGTGATTGTAAATATACCTGCTGGTTTTTTGCGTTAATTTGTATGACCGAGGCCTGGCATTTTAAAAAGCGTCTTATTTTTATCTAAAAATACCTTGTTCTATAAAATTTTGAATGGGAGAAAAAGGCTTGTCGCTTTCTTGAATAAAGTAGGATTATATCAACTGTATTCTGTTTATTATTATTGAGATCCTATTTATAAAGGTATTTGGTGAAATTGAGTAGTGGACTAGTATCTTAGAACTTTTAGGTAAGCTACTTGAAAAGATTCCTTTCGGCACACTAGAATCAACGTCTGTTACTTCCGCCCGTAAGTATTCTAATTGTATTCGATTTCCATGCGTTTAGAATATAAATTAAATGACCCACGTAGCATGTACCCATAGAGCACGAACTGAACCATTAGACATCTGTTAAATGATTACTTAAATATCGTCCAAAATTTGTTTGAGAAAAACGCTAAGTTTCGGAAGCTGTTTTGTAAATATTAATCTTCGATTAATAAAAAGCCTCGTGTAAAGTTACTTATTCATATTAAAAATAGACAAAATAACACTAGAATCGGTCACTTGGAGCGCTCTTTTCGAATGGTTGTCAGACGCGCTTTGCTAGTAGACCAGTCAGTCGCGTACGAATTGGTGTTGATGTCGGTCTGTGTGGAATCCGATCTTAGAATTACGAAAATATTATGTGGCGGCGTACGGTGAAGTGTTTTTATGTAATGCTTATTTTGTGATTCGATATTTTGTGCGTCCTTTCATCACGTATGGCGGATCACAAAGCGACAGGGGTAGGTTTTCGATTAGATAATACAATTATCCGCCCAGAGTCGCTCAAGTTATTTACCCATTGTCATGGGTCATTAAAATTTTGGGTACCGATTTAAAATGCTATTCCCAGTTCACATTTACCATCTACTCTTTGAGTTGGTTGTCGCTATAGGTTGCGATTGGAAAAATTATTAAAAAAGGTTTAGAGATTTGCAAATTGCAATTTTAATAAAATTTCTTTTGATATCAAAAAGAATCGGCTAAATTTTTTTTTCGCGATGAAAAGAACAAACAAAAACCCTTCCCGGATTTTAAATTTACCCTCATTGGTTCGAATTTGAATATAATCTAATTTAAAAGTAAAAATGTAATTTCGTAAATTAAAATAAAATTGTTAACTTGGAATTTTGTGAGTTTAATTACTTTTAAACAAGTTAACTCATTCGGCTGCCTAATTGTGGCCTAATCTGAAAGTCGAAATTCCACGATCCAATATCTGTTTGCCAACCAGATCATCGGTAACTTAAATTTGTACCTAACTTAATTTTTGGACACATTGCAATTTGCAAAAATTAGTGTCTAAAAGCCATTAACGATCCAAAAGGTAAAATGACTGTTATTGAAATAAATCCCATATTTGCCTTTTAATATTATTATTAATAGTATGCTTCCGAATATATCCTGCTAATAATAAAAATCTTCCGGAAGTGTGAAATCTGACTTCCTATACGTCGCATATGTCCCCTTAAATCTGGTTATAATTAGCCAAGTTGAAATTTTTTAAGGGACTGCGATTGATAAAACGAAAATTCGATCAATTTAAACGTATTTTTCAAAGAGAAGTCCTTGCCTGTTGATTTTCTTTGATCGGTGTTTTGTGTTTGTATTACGTTCTTTAACTACGCGTGTGTAAATAAACCCGTTTTATCTAGCTTATCGGTGCGTCTGGGCTCTAAGAAACCTGCAACAATATCTGGGAATTAAGAAAGTAGTAATGTGTGGCACAAAATGAAATGCGTTATAACAGAAATATCACATTCTGAACGCACACCATATAGCATATGCCTATGTCGATAATATCAGAAATTAAGAAACAATTATTAAAACAATTTTGAGAAGGTCTATTAAACACGCGCATGCGCGAAATTTAAGATCTGGTATATTGCCAATAATCTTACGACAACCAACATGGCCGCTGCCAGATTTTACTTGAGTATTTTCTCAAAATGTACGTAGATCTTGTGAAATACTTTGAAAAAAAAAGTTAAGTGTGTGTGGAAATCGCTGTTTACAAAGAAAATCGCGCAAAGTGCAGGTTAGTGGGCGAAATGTAGAGGCATGCGCGGAAAATCATTACCTTCTCTACAAAAACAACAATGCCGCCTGCGGCACATGAATTTTTACCGCCCTGAGACCTTTATATCATATAATAGCTACATGATGCACAGAAATAAGGTCGTTGGATTTAAAATTTTTCACTTTATAAACATAAAACATTTAGACGCTTGAAGATATCTAATTTATTTAAGACTAATTAATTAATTTACGTTGGAACAGTCGCCTGAACCACTGTTATTCCCTCCAAAGAGGTTTTTTTAATAAATATATTTTATTTAGTTCTACAGGCCAGCTAACTCGTGCCAAATTCGCTGTTCGTCAAAATTAATAAATAATGACAAAGAATCCTAAAAACAATGAATAATAGTATGTTTTGGCAATAAGTTTGGTAAAGGTCATTTTAGTCATGACTTTAATTTGTCACGAGCGGAGCGAGTGTTCAATAAAGGAATAACTGTTTTTGGGAATAAGTATTTTTTATCCAAAAAGGTGTTTTTAAGAAATATTTAAATATTTTTGAATCATACTTGTGTACTTGCGACAAGCGGTTGTACGACAATAAATGGCACGACTAGAATTATTTGGTTAGGATGTTAAGGTATCCACCAAAGCATAGGAGATTCAATAACGATTGATTAGTAACGATTCTTCTTCTTCTGTGTTATAAAATCATGCACTCGCATTTGCAATTGCACGTATTAGCAACGAAAGTTTGACTTTTTAGATTGGAGTAATAAAAGTAAATTTTAAAATTTCCCAAAATTTAATTTTTTGCGGATTTAAAAGATTTTTTCATTTTGAACAAAACTCACTACGTACCTGTAAAAAACAGTTCATTTTCATACAGAGTTTGTTATACTGTGGATCAATGTGGACTCATCGTATACCTATATATACCTATGGGACGGTTGCATATTTATTCATCTGTTCCGAATTTTTGTTACGCGTTGTTTTTGGCTCTGTAATGTATACAGGGCGTTTTAATGTGTTTGTTAATATCTATAATAAACGTGTAAACCTCTGCATGTATTATCTATCGAATTAATGAAATGCGGTGGTAATATCAAGTAAGTTAAATATCCTGCTAATACTACGGATAAAAATAAATGAAAATAAAGCAAATACCATATAGCCTAGTTTGTTTGGATGTTTATACAGTAGACCTTCGGGTTTGTTTTTAGAGAGACGGGCAGATGTTGTGGCAGAGCGTGAACGGGGGCCTTAATGCGCTGGCACTGTCAGGCCACTTGCATTTATGAATGATTCCATGTCCTCTAGGATTCATTTATTTCGGGATATGTTTAATACGCGCCGAATTAAATGTTATATAATTAGACCCGAGCCCCTTTACCAACATGTCGCGTTATATCGCTCTATATGAATGAAACTACGTTAGACTGCATGCAAGGGACTTTACTTTTCCTTCCGCATTGAGTGTGACGTTCAGCTGCGATCGCTAGTATTCATCCGCCAAACGTCCACGTTAGTTTTCCAAAAAGCATGTTCTTTATTGAGAACGTCCGTGCGCTAATAAAGTATGTCGGAAGACCGCACATTTTTCTGGTTCTCGAGAGCCATTCGTCGCAGAAATACACAATAGAAATCACTTGACCCACATGCAAGCAATCAAAATCACGTGCACCTTTTTCTGATGAAAGCGTGGACGTTAGTATTGTCCCCGTATTTCAAAAGATACTCGAGGGTTTTTATTGAGCGGTTAATCAGGGAGACAGATTTTTTGCAGAATGGTTTGCGGATCGAATTTATTCTATCCTTTGCCCCTGATATTAGTAAAACAAACAAAACAGTACAATTTAGTTTTTTTGTAAGCTTTTAAAAATGTTGGTTGTCGTGGGAATTTTAAAATGAGTTCAAATTCTTTTTTTTTTTCATTTCCGCTTCAAGAATTCAATCAATTCAATCACGGCAAGTAATATTGAAAAGTATGAAGAATTCAGATTATTTTTAACACATTTCAAATTTTAACTGTACTGTGAATTATTTATTATTATATTCCACACGTATATTTAAAACTTTGAATTGTTAAAAGTCAATTTTAAACAAATTTACTTTTATTTAGATTTTTTTTAATTTATAATTTATTTATTATAATTTACAATCGTGTTTTTATAAAACAAACTCTCAAATCAATGCTTAGTAGCTCTGGCCAAGGAAGTAACAAAAATAAATACAGTGTAACAGTCAACATCACTAAAGTTTCGCAAATTTAACAACGATTAATAATATCGCAAGCATATTTTCATGGGGTATATGTATCTATCAGGAATTTTATTGTACGTCTTTGATGTGTTTGCATTCGGATTGTTCCTATCTAGAATAGAATTATTTTTTGTGGCTTTTGACCATCAAATCGATTTATTTTAGACTAACTTTAACTAAATTTACCCACAGTATTTACTTCTTGGTCAAGCACTAGCTCGTCTACACATTAATTTCATCAGTTCTAATCAATGCCATTTTTATTTAATTATTTGGATCTTTTCGCCTTTACTGGCTCTCAAAAAAAATAAATAAATTTGTTTGAAACCAACGATTCTCGGGTTAATACGAATCTATTTGTAGCATCATTTTTTTGTCCTCTGGTTTACAGATGTCATAATCGACATTTGCATTTCCATGTAGCTTTGACGTGCTCCAGTCATGGCGACAGCGGCAGCTAAAAGCTTCATTAATTTTATAAACTATTGCTTAAACTGTGGGCATCCAAAAGCTCCATTAATAATACATAAGGTAAAACGCGGATATTTTCGGACACGTAAAACAATAATACGCCTCGCGAATCCGAGGACCGTAAATAAACGGGGTGCGCATCCAAAAATATCCACAAAACTGAAACGGATCTCCAGACAGACCAGCGACAGACGACACGGCATTCGGATGCGTCATTCTTTCGGCATGTAGCTATTTGTCTTAAAATATTGTCTTCGAAATATACTTACTTCTTTCAGCCAACGCCCACCGTTTTAAACTAAGCCGGACAATGGTTTTTTCTATTTTTCAAAGAAACTTCCACAGGCTACTGTAATACTTTTTACATCACTTCTGGATTCCTCCTGCGTCTGTTTTTGTTGAGTCGAACTTGCTGACGTTTCGCCAATCATCCTGTTGGCTTCTTCAGGGCTTGACTGAAACTGGCTCATATTTTACTCTGTACCTGTTTATATTTGTTTGACGGGGGCGGAGCTAAATGAGGGGCATAAACACCGTCTCTGATTACATGCAAGAACTTTAGTTTTATCGAATTAAATTTTATGTCCAGTTTCATGTGTGTGTTCGGCAACAGCTGATGAGTTTATTTGTCTTAATCGTAAGGATATGCATATGCATGGAATGCTGTAAACTCCTGGCATCTCAAATGGAATTTTGTCTTTGACGGATCCAAGATGTTGAGAGATTTTGTGGACAAGTGGTAAATCTGGTTTTGACGTTATGCTTCTTTAGAACTTTATAACTATAAACAACCTAACAATCTTAACCGCGACTCAGGTCCCTACCTGTCACCAATATATAAGCAGGTACAGAGTAAAATACGAGCCAGTTTCAGTCAAGCTCTGTCCATGTCAGGCAAGACCCACTGTTGGAATGGGTTGTACAAGGGTCCTACGAAGGTCTGCGGTTAAGGTACTGTAACATACTTAACACGTCAAAGCAATAAATGCAC